CTCCCTCCCTCTCTCTCTCTCTCTCTCTCTCTCTCTCTCTTTCTTTCTTTCTTTCTTTCTTTCTTTCTTTCTTTCTTTCTTTCTTTCTTTCTTTCTTTCTTTCTTTGTGACAGGATGTCACCATGTTACCCCAGCTGACTTTGAACTCACAATCTTCCTACATCCACTTTCTGAATCTTGTGGTCTCTTTAAACACATCCCTGGGATGAACAGGGTGTCTAGGTCACAATTTGAAAACGTCTCCTGTGTGGCACTGTACTGCAAATAATACAAGGCGCAGGGCAGTGTGTAAAAACTGGTCACAGATAGCTGAATGTGTGGCTTCCCTGTACACAGAGGTAAACCCTTTTAGTAAGCACTGTAGGCTCAGGGATTTCCAGGACTCAAATTTAGCTGGGTGATTTTCTAGCTGTGTGACTCGAAGAAAGTTAATTAACCTCTCTAGTCCCTGGGATCTCATTTACAAAATGAGGTTGATAATAAGACTACCAAACCTCCTTGGGTTTCAAGGAAGCAAAGTGGCTGGCGCACAGGAGGCACTTGATAAATTATGCAACTGATTTATGCAAACTATTATTATTAAGTGGCCTTGGAAAACAGTCAAGAAAGGTTATATAACATATTAAAGCTCGCTGTTCCTCATGTACAACTGGAAAATGGAGAATTCTGTGCGTTCTATGATAAATATTATATAGAATAAACACATATATGATTCAGGCCCATCTGTGTGTGTATTTAAACTCATGCCTGTATGTATAAATATGCACATAGTATTTCTCAACTTCTATGTTTAAAGCCAGTAATACCCTGCTGGAGACACAGCTCAGTAGGTAGAGTGCTCACCTAGCATCCTTGAATCCCTGGGTTCAACCCTGAGCAGCCCATACCAGATGTGATGGCACAAGCCTGTGGTCTTGGCACTCTTGCAGGTGGAGGAAGGAGGCTCAGGAGTTCAAGGTCATCCTCAGCTGTACAGTGAGGCAGGAGCCAGCCTGGGATACAGGAGACTATCTCAAACGACAGCAGGAGCAACGCATAACAAAATGCTGATTGTACCTTAAGGGGAAGAGAGTTTCTGAATGTCAGCACATCTTGATTTACTTGAGATACAAAACTTTTCAGAGTATTCCTTGAAAAAAAATTCTTGGGCTGGCAAGATGGCTCAGTGTTGGTAAAGAGGCTTGCTGTCAATCCTTACGACCAGAGTTTGAACCCTGGAGCCCACATGGTGGAAGGAAAGATCCAATTCCTGCAAGTGGTCCTCTGTCCTTCTCATGTGTGACATGGCATGTGCCCCTCCCCGCAACACACAAAATAAATATAAAAAACAAAAAACAAAAGACTGGAAAGATGGCTCCATTGTTAAGAGCACTGACTGCTCTTTTAGAGGACCCAGGTTCGGTTCCCAGCATGCATTATGGCAGCTAACAACTACCTGTAACTCCAGTTCCAGGGGATTTGATGCTCTCTTCTGGCCTCTGTGGGCACCAGGCATGCATGTAGTGTACTTACATACATACAGGCAAACACTCATACACATAAAATAAAATAAAAATAAAAACAAAAACAAATCTTTGCCTATGGAATTCCATTCCATTTTCAAACTGTAAAGTAAACAAAACAAGCTGTGTTCATTACTATTCCTGTTGTGATTAAGGAAGAGCAATTATTTATTTATTTATTTTTATTTTATGTGTATGAGTGTATTGCCTGCATGTAATGCCCACAGAGGCCATAAGAAGGTGTCCAATCCTCTGGAACTGGAGTTGCAGATGGTTGTTAGCTGCCATGTGGGTGCTGAGAACTGAACCCGGGTCCTCTGCAAGAGCAGCCAGTGCTCTTAACTGCTGAGCATCTCTCCACCCTGAGAACAGTTTCTTTTGACTTAGAGTTTGAAGGGACAGTCCATCGTGGTGAGAAAATTAAGACAGCAGGAGCTTGAAGCCTCTGGTCACATCACATCCTCAATCAGGAAGCAGAGAGAGAGCACACTGGTATTTGCCTAGCATTCTCCCTTTTATTCAGTCCAGGACCCCCATCTGTGGAATGGTGCTGCTCACATTCAGGGCAGGTCTTCCCATGGTGGAGATGGTGCGGGGGGCAACCATGTGGGTCCCAAGGATTGAAGCCAGGTTGACATGCTTGGCAGCAAGTTCCTTTACCTGCTGAGCCATCTCACTGGCCCATAACTTAACTTTTATTTTAATTATTTTATTTTATTTTATGTATGTGTGTGTAAGCCTGTGTGACTATATGTGTACCACATGTATGCAGGAGTATGCAGACATCAGAAGAGGGTGTCAGGGGCTGCAGAGATAGTTCAGCTGTTAAGAGAACTAA